CCAGACCTGCGCTGGAACGACTTTTCATCACGACTATAAATCTTAGGCAGCCTGTCACAGGGCAGTGATTGAGACAACATGTGATCCCCTGAAAATAAAACACAGGTGTGATGAAACAACAAGAGAGGGCGGGAGACTATTTGCATCGCACAATATAGACGTTTCACTAAAATCCTGTTAGGTTTTAACAAGGCCCCTGTGTTCAGCTTTGCCTTGATAGTCCAAACAAAGCTGCAGCTAATTACAGCTCCTATGTGTGCACATGCAGTCATGGATGCACAACAGAAGTCTTGTAAATACCTGTTTCAACAGGCATTCCTTTTGTTTAAGGAGTCTTAAGACTAAATAAACAGCTTCAACTCAATCGGTTTTTAAGTTATCTCTCAGCTTTTTAGATTAGAATGATAAGAAATGCAGAAGCAGTCCGCAAAGTCTACCCCCACAAATTATGTTTTCACAAAGTGCCCTTGTGAATGTCTTGGTAGCTGCAGAGCGCCCCTTTTCGCCAGTGGAAGCGACAGACAGATCATATAGATCATACAGCTCTCCTGAAGATGAAACACATCTTTTCTTCTGGGAAGCTCTCTGGTTGGGAATTCCCAAGAATATCACCAGAGCTGTGTAGCTCTTGCTACGTATAGGATAGGAAATGAACAACACAAGGGCTCTGACACGTAGGACATTTGAGCTGGTAGTTCCATAACTGTGTGACATAGAAGTAAGGTCCGTAGGGTTGGAAGTTATTTTAGAAATTGAAACGTCACACAGTGATGCTTGGCCAGAAGGATACTGCTTTAAAGTTTGATGCCAGAAATTCCTGATTAAGTGTCTGCAGACCAGGAATGCAAATGTGTTAAATAGATCATCTTTAAAAAATAAATCCCTATGAAATGTTTCATTTATGTCCTTTGCTGTGCCAGGTGTACCATTAACAATCAATCACTTTAATGAGCATTTTGTAAATGTTTCTCATGATTTTTCTCACTTCATTAACTTTTCCACATTTTACCAAGTTAGAAGCACAATTTTTAATGTAATGTGCTGGGATTTAGAAGTCATTAACATTGCAACATTGTGTAATGGAAAGGCAATGATAAACGTCTCACAAATTCAAATTCAAATGAAGATCTGAAAATTATGGTATTTGTATTAGTCCTGCTTTGTGTTGGTTTATCATATGAAATATGTGGTGATAATGTTAATATATTTTGAATTACGCTACTTATTCTCTCTGCATATTATCTTATGTTTATTTTTTTTTCTAAAGACCATATACACACAGGTAAAACTACATAATTGTGTAAATTATAAAAAGAGACATTTCGACTTTTTTCACAATATGACATGAATTTAGACAAAACCTTTCATGTTTTAGGTCAGCTATGATAATCAAAATTATTGTTAAATGCTGAATTAATCCAAAGAGACACAGATCAATAATTATTGCAATATTCTTATCACAAAGGACAACTTGGAGTGGAATAAGCACCGGCAAAAACAGTATAGTCCCAGCGTCATGAGTTTGCATTTTACAAGCTGATGAAATATTTAGCCAGGTGAGCAGAGTCTGGCGGAAGCAGGTGCTCTTCCCAGACACACATGACATTGCTCAAAATGCTAAATGTCAAAGAGTGATGGAAGCACAGAAAAAACAGAGGAAATAAGGAAATGGGCACATATCGCACCTGATGACATCAGAATATTTACCAATCACATCACAAAATTATCTAATATCCTGCTACCTTAAGTAATACGTCTTTAAATCATTTAGAGAAGCCCAGATGATGATCTTCTGGCTTTGCAAGCTTCTGATAGGTTAATTCAAAACATGTGATTTAAATGGGGGCATGTCTCTGGATAAACTTTAACCTTCAAATCTAAGAGACATCATGATAAAACCACAAGAAATCAGACAAAATAATATGTTTCATTCTTGTGCACAATTTCCTGATTTATACAGGTGCCATATTCATATGTTTACCAATTCTGCACAAGTCAAAGTATCAATTGTAGCACTCAGGAAGGAGATGGATTATTTGTCTTGGTGGAAAGGTGTACAACAATCTTAGAAAATCAACAAAAGACCAGATGCTGACAGACGCTGGAAAGAGAGTGTCATTATCTACAGTAAAATATGTCCTGAACTGACATGGAATACAAGGCCATTTATATTGTAAGAAGCTATTATGACTTTACATGACTTCAAAAATAAAACAGCACCAACTGCAAAAAGGAAGGGCAAAAATGCAAGCCAGCAATCAGAAGAAGCTTGTTGAAGGATACCTAGCATGTTTGACTCAATCACACAGTTTAAGAGGCAATTCTAGAAGAAAATCAATGTACTCTTCTGAATTTGAAGATTGTTAGAGCCAAAAAAAAAGATCCTTCTTATTACGTTTAGCCTAATTTAATGTTAAATACAAGAAAACAAAATAATTTGCCTTTTATTAGATGTAAACATATGATTTTCAATTCTGCATTTCAACGGTAAATTGTAGTATGATTTTTACAAAGAAAACTTTGTGTTCAGATGTGTGCACCGTGGGCCCTAATAGCTGGTATGCTCAGTGAGAATCCGCATGCTGCACAAAGGGGCCTCTCTCTTTCAGTGATCTAGGAGGAGTCTTGTCTAGTTGGTTGAGTTCTGGTTTCTGGAAGAGAGAGCTTTTTGACAAGGAATTAAAATCCTTGGGTTGAATATTTATTTTTCCTGAAGGATTTCAAATACTGGGACTCGGTGCAAAAGTGTCAAGACTCTCCATTCCGTCTATCCTCTGAACTCCATAACAGTTCTGTTTTTAATCATCAAGCATTTGCCATGGCAGAGCGTATGCTAGAATTTCAGCAATCCCAGTTTACAATTAGACATGCAAAGAGATTTGACCCTTTGTTATTAACTTGTTCTTGTTTTAACGTCTAAGGAAAATATATCAAAGAAGAGCACAGAGTTCAGGAAGCAAAGAGCTTCTGTCAGCTTACTAATCAAGACATAAAGGGCCACAATTGGCATTCAGGCAATATGATCTGAGTTTCACTGATGCTCACACACACACACGCATTAATACACAGAGAATAGGCCAGGCTGATTAAACTTGCATCCACGGCTAATTGCACCATCAAATGTCAACCTAGCACAGCATCGGCGCTGAAAGCCAGTGTAATTCGTTCTGCACTAATTTCCCTCACAGAGAAATGAGGGGCCCCACAGATGCATTTACTGTCTGCCATAAAACTTGTCTCCATTAAGGAGCTAACTGCAGAGGAGAACAGCATGAGAGATTAAGGAAAAGATGGAAATGAAGGATAAAAAATAAAAATGTGTTCAATGTAAGGGGAATAAGTAGAAGAAATAAAAAAACTAAAGGAGGACACGCAAAAAAAAACAAAAAAAAAAAACAAATATGGTAAGAAATTGGTTGTTTTAAAGTTTGAATTAAAATGCAGGATCTCTCCTTGAGCTGAAAGCCATTTGGCTGGATAGTGAGACTGCTGAAGTGAGCCAAATATATTTCCAAGCTCAAGTGCTGATACAAGACCTAGAAAGGTATGAGTACAGATTCAGCTTAATATTTAATAATAAAAAAAAAAAAAATAGAAAAAGCACATTCCTTGACATGTGTTTTATGAATTTAGTTAAACTTTGGGGGGATGGAAAATGCTGAGCATTAAACCTTTTTCAGACATTAATAATAAAAATCACTATATTAAAAAAATTAAAACACTGACACAACAATCTCCCTACGGTACGTAGCTTAAAATATTTCTATTAAATAAAGCTAGTACTGTTCAAGAATAACTTCCTGCTCTAATTGTGCTGTGTCTGCAGTGTTGTCTGCTTCACTTTCATCCACTTCCTCAGTGAGTCACTCCTCTTGTCAAAAAGATTACATTCGGGAAGCTCTCTGTCTTTTTAATTATATTATGCCATTGCATCCTGTTAAAGACTGTTGCGTACCAATGGATGGACAAAGACACAGTTGCTTTCTGATCAGTATCTCATCTCTGTAAGCTGGAATCAAGTGGTGGTCTTTGACATGGTTGATGTTCAGTCTGAGGACAGAACACCTTTCTATCAGCATAAACACTAAAAAAACAACATAACATTTGTATCTCAATTTATTTATTTTTTGCATAGACTGTTTGTATTGCTATGTGATATGATACTGAGTCAAAGTCAAGGCACGCTACATGAACTTAAAAAAAAGGGCGTCCAATTTTAAAAAAATTGAGCTAATTTCTTAAAATTAATCAAAGTCAATCCAACCTAAATAAAGTAAGTCTGACAAATGTAATTCGACTAGATGTAACACTCAATTTTTTGTAGTTGGAGTTGTGAGTATTTATGGTGTGCGTAGGTCATGCAATGTGTCTGGGGTATGATCATGTCTCATGGTGCTTCATTTGTTTGAAAACTCTTCATTTCTAAGCATAATTTTTAAAGCAACGTACACAAAAACAACGCCTGCAGGCTCAAAACTGGTCAACACACCATTTCTTCTTGCAGCTAATTGGTCGGCATCATTTCATGGGAAACGCCATAAAGGAGTGCTTTCATACCGGAGGTGCTCAGGCTCTTTTAAACAAACTCTGGCTAGTTTCCCTCTTTGGTGCAGTTAATTTATATAGAAGCAACCACAGCAATAACACTAGGGTATGGAGAAAAACAACCATATCAAGATCGTTTGGATGAGGTGATCTCAGTTCGGTTCCAAAGTTTAGAGAAGTTTGTTTGTGGTGTGAATGGGATCTGACCTCAGTCAAACACGGCTTCCAGGTGTACAGTGAAAACTTGAGTCAGTGCAGTAGAATAAACAAACTCATAAACATCAGTGGAATGTTTTTCTCTTAAAGCCTACTAGTATGTGCTATATGCATTTAATTCCTTCCATCAGTTCTGAGTAAAGAAATTCATTTAACATATTTTTGAAAATGAAATCTAGCTCAAAAGAGGGTCTGTAGATCACCCTTCCTTCTTTGAAGACACATGGACTAAAGGTTTATGTTATTATGACCCTTTAACTATTTTCTCCACCAACCTTTTCGTAGTATTTAATCTCATAGTCCAGGATGATGCCGTTGGGTCTGTCTGGTTCCTGCCAGGACAATGAGACACTGTTTCGAGACGTCTTCTCCTTTCGGATCACAGTTACTGGAGAGGGAGCTGGGCCAGAGACATAGACAGACACAAGGTGTAGGAGGGAGAGAGAAGGTTCTGTTAATGTAAGGTTCAATGGAAGTTCAGGCCCTGGTGCTGAATACTGGAAACTGTCTGTAGCTCCTATTAGCCTAATTCAGTTTGCTGAAATGTGAGGGTGAAACATGGGCAGAATCAAGACAGATACTGTAGCAAGATAGATTGATAGTTAGCTAGATAGATAGATAATTATATTAACAGTTACTCATAGCTCTACCTACAGTGCTGCAATTTGTCATTTCCTAGTACCCTTACCAGTATTCTTTTTTTCGTACCACAAACTCTCAAGGTGGTATGACAATAAAAAAAATCCTTGAATCCTTTTATATTAATATTCTTTCAACTGAGGGAGCTTCAATAATATGTGATAAAATGAACAAGACTCAAATCTACCGCCATACATTAAAAAAAAACAAACAAAAAAAACAATGACCAACAAATAATAGAAAAAAAAAAACCCTCCAAAGATCCCACCACTAGCTGACTAAATAAGCCGCTCATTGTATTATAAAGTATAGTAAAAGATATCCATAGTCTCATAGACCAAACTTTATCCCAAATGTCATAGTTTGTCTGTCAGGTTTTACCGCAGTTTCTATTCTTCCAACACATTTTTGGAAGGCCTGTGATATTTTTCTGTGGAAACATTGTGAACCTTTTACTTCCGCGTCTCCCTCCACTGTCCTCGTCTCTTTTGGTCTGTTGCTCTCTTCTCCTTGCCATTTTTCCTTGCCAATTCTTCACCCATGCATCGCCTTGCCTCAGGGAGTTCACATGGTCCCAATCTAGTGATTCTACACATCTCTGCCTTTATCAAGCATTGCTTTCGTCCCTCGGTCTGCTACTCTATTTCTATCTCTCTCTCTTTTGCCTTCTCTCTCTCCCTCTGTCTTCTCACTCCCTCTCTTATTTCCCTTTTTACTGCTCTCTAATTGCCAGGCAGCTTCGGGCCCAACTCAGCATCTGAGGCATCGACTTTTAATTTTATTAGACCACAGGAAAAAACATGTTTGTCTTTGAAATGTTCAAGCCTCTCTTGATTATGATTATATGGCCACAGAATGCGTCTGAGTGTGCATATGCATGCTTGTGTGTATTTCTGCGGGAAGTTATTTTTTTCTCCTGTAATGAATCCAGATGGGTAGAATCTGTTCCTATACCCCCATGCGCCTCCTTTCCTCCTCCTCTCCCTTTGGCTCCAACAGCGGGGTGAGGCTGTGCTTTTTATTGGCTCTGTGGTTTATGGTGGTAATGATTTACTGAGTCTGGGTCGCTTGGAGGCAGCTTCAAGTTCCTCTCCTCCCTGTTTTTTTTTTTTTTTTTTCCACACCCCTCTTATATCTCTCTCTTAATGTCTATCGCCAAGCACTTAAATTCCTGTCACTCTCTTTTTCTGTCTAAGGCAAAACTGTAAAAGTGACACAGCACAGAATGCATATAACGGCTTTCAATACTGACAATTGGTATATTTCACGTTAGGAAATAACACACAACAATCGGAGGCAGTGGATAATGATATAGTTGATTGTTGGTACTGTGACTTTTAACAGTGTTATTACCATTTTAACTTTTACGTATTTTCTCATAATGATACCGTAGAAAAGTAGGCAGTGCAGGGTATGTATGCATACATGTGAAATTAAATGAACTTTCTTTTTGCAAATAAACACCTGAGAAGTGGGACAGCCTCTGTTTACTGTGGTAACCCTATAAGACATACTGTGCAAGTGTAACCAAATGAGTAACCAGAGTTCATGTGTGCAGTATTAAAAAATAGCTGTTATTTAAAAGCCTCGCAGGGGGAAAAAAAAACAAAAAAAGTAAACAGCTTTGTGAGGATCACAGAACTCAGAAGACAGATCAGTGTTCAGTTATGCAACGATATCCTAAACGTTCAACTGTACAATCCATCATCTGAAGAAAGAAGTACAGCACATCTGCAAACCTATCAAGACATGGCCATCTACCTAAACTGACTTGCAGGGTGAGGAGAGCATCAATCAGAAAAGAGGTCGGAAGGCCCATCGTAACACTAGAGGGGCTTCTGAAAACCACAGCTCAGGTAAAAGAATATGTCTGAGGATCTTCGAGGGTGAGTGGCAAGCAGAAAGACAATGTTAAGGGAAAGCTTAAGGAAGTGTCAGGGACACAAACATGTAAGAAAGGTGCTTTGGCAACATGACATCAAATTCAGTTTTTGTCCATGATGCAAAAAGCTATGAGTTAAGAAAGACTAAGGGTGTGGTGTGGTGGCACAGGGGTTAAGCACAACCCATGTATGGAGGCCTTAGTCCTCGACGCGGCTGTCGCAGGTTTGATTCCTGGCCTGGCGACCTTTGCCACATGTCTTCCCCTTCTCCCATTACCCACTTTCCTGTCAATTAACTATCAAAGAAAGGCCACTAGAGCCAATAAAATCGAAAAAAAAGAAAGACTAATGCTAAACATTGCCCCAAACACTGAAACATGCTAGTGACAAAACTTTGAAGGAATTTGACTTGTGAAGGTATTTTAAGTGCTTAAGGTAATCAATACAAAAACTGTGAGACAATGTTACATCAATGTAGTAGTTAAAATGAGTTTTCAACATGTATCAGTCCAAATATAATGCTCCCCTGCTTCTTTGTAACAACCCTGCGTGGCAAAGTTCAATTGCAGTTTCATCTCACCAACTCTATTCATGTGTGGATTACAGTTACTGTGTTGTTAGCATACTTATGACTGCAAGTGGAGGGCAATGGAGGAGAGAGGAGGCAAACTATCTAACAGCACCTTGACAGGCCAGCCAGGACACACTGCTCCTTCCCAGGGAAACACTTAATCCAGCTTTTAACAGCTTTGGCATCTATAGTTGTGTGTGTATGTGCGTGTGCACGCGTGCGTGTGTATTTGAGAAAAACTAGCAGACGGATGGGGCTGGTGCCCTGACATACCTAATCCTTGTAAACTCTCAGGGTTGATGGAAGGTGTGCAGCTGCAGTCTGAGATAGTTGTTAGAGAGCAAGAGGTCTGTGTGCGTGTGTGTCTGTTTTGAACCGTGGGCACAATGTTAAGGTGCATGCTTTGTGTTTTTATGCATGTGCCGCCATGTAATTTAACTCTGTGTTGGCTAAGTACTGATAAAGGAGCTGATCGCTCAAACATTGGGTTGGTGTTTAAAATTCCTAGCACATGCAGGCCTCTTAGTGGTGATAAGCCTTCTTCAAATTTAATATATATTCACGTTGAGGAGAATACCCTGACTAACAACACGGATTATGAAGCTTGCTAAAGAAGATTTTAAAGCTTTGCTAAATGACCTTATCGTTCTCAGTTGCATTGTCTTTTTGATACTTTATTTTTAAACCCCAGCTGACCTTTATCCTCATACCAATAAATTGTTTGTCATTTCTTTGAAATCATCTGCACTAACACAACTACACACTGAAAATAGATGCTCTTTTTTTCCCCCTATGACACAAAAGAACAGCTAATGGAAGAAGACATACTGCAGATCCACTTGCAGTATAAACTATGAATGTAAACTTTTACTCAATGTCAGCTACTAGAGATATAGTTTGTTATTGTTTATATATGAGGATGAGGGGAGGGGCAACAGACGTTTGCTTGTGCAAACTTTTTACATTTTAAAAGGTTTTTTTTTTGTCTTTTACATTTTGTTATCAGGTAATTGAAAATAATTTCTTCTGTTGGTATCAAATTCATCTAGCTTGATTTAAAAATTGCACATAAGTCCTAAATTGCAATGAAGAACTTCAAGGGGCTTCAGTGTATTGAACTCTAAGAGGACCCAAATATAAAAACAGAAAAATAAATTTAATTTTCAAGTTCCAACCAATCATTGTAATTACCACAGTTTATCTGTGATAGGATGGTGTAAAACCAAATTGATTCTGAGTTTTAAACACATTTTGAACAAAGACAAAATGCTAATCAGAAACTCATGATCTGACGATGAAGCAGAATATTCTGCATTCTGTTCTGAATACGTTCAGACTCAAAATAAATCACAGCAGAAATTCTGACAAATGTTCGGATCAGCCCATGTGTGTTTTCATTATCTGCAATCAAGCTGTTCTACAGATGGTTCACACACACCGAGAAAGAAACTGAAAATTGAAACAAAAGCAAGACAAAAATAATATTAAGCTTCAATGTAACCTTACTCTGTACATACAGTTTATAGCAAAGATCTTGCCTTTCTCCAATAATTTTTATTGTGATGACTTTGATGTCTGTGCATACTCGATCACCTGCTGATTGTATCACAAGGAATTCGCCTGTGAGAGAAATGTCTTTAGCATGTCTCAAAAAACAAAAGAAAAACCCAACAACAAATGAATAAGAAAAACATTGTTAGATGTGGTTTGGCTGTGCAAAGCGACATTTAGAAAGAAAAATGACTTCGAACAAGGGAGGAACTTCACCAAGAACCAGGGATGTGGGAGAAGAAACTATCAAACTCCTGGCAGCACATTTAAAGACTGTCTGTACAGAAAGAGGGAAGAGGAAGTAAAAAGGAAATACAACGTAGCGAACTAGAGCTGGGTCTTTATGCATTCCTTGCTCGAGTCAAGGATTTCTGAGGTTTGGCACTAGGTTTATTTCATCCGTGGAATTTCACAACAATGGCTCTCTTTGCCTCCTTATTCTTCAAAGAATGTGGATAGAGAAAGATATTTGTATAAAAAGATTGATGGGAGATTTAGGAGGTCATCCTTATGGTATTAGAGTTTTTAAAGAGAAAAGACAGTTCTTTGGGAAGGAAGGAGGTCATATGATGCTAGTCGTTAAACAAGAGTATTGCAGTTGGGAATCGGCTTGTAAATGTCCGGATCTGATGGCTTGAGTACATATGTGTGGAGCGTATCAAATTTAGGTTGTTATTATATGATAAGAATCACAGGATATACAGTGAAATGTTCTTCTGCTCGTATATGATGTCTTGCAGCTGTTGCACATTCCTTTGTTTTTTTGAGAATCTTGTTTTGTTTTACCTTAGAGGATTAAGATCAAATCCACAAAAATGTGTCAGATATCACTTCTAGACTTCCTTATGAAACAATCAGCTGAGTGAGAAATCCTAATCTATAACACTAGGGATTTAAGATGACAGTCTAGCCATCGTCTGATGTTTACATCCAGCAGCATAATCCATTATGTTCAGATCATCTCAGTTTGGTTTTTTGAACATGACAATGAGTTCTTGCTTCCGTAGTCTCAAAGATTTCACTTCACTAGATCAATATGAAATGTGGTGGAAGAAAGAAATCTTGATATGTATTTGTAGCTGTCAAATATCTAGCAACTGCTTGATGCTTTCATGTCAGCATGGACCAAATTAAACACATTGTTAATTATATGCCACAAAGAATTAAGATATTTCTTTTTCAAAAATGATGCAGTTCTAATGGCAAAGGGAATCCAACTAGCAAAGTGACCTTAATACAGTGACTGGTGAGTGATTTAAATAAATTAGTCAGGCTTTTATCTGTCTAACTGTTTAAATCATTCCTACCTGCTTGATTGGTGGTAATGGTGACAGCAGCATATTGTCTCATTTTGGGTGCCAGTGATGATACGCCATTCTGTGCTTCAATCTCGAAGGTGTAATTAGTATGAGCCAGTAGGTCACCCACTGTCACGGTGGTGTTGTGGAGACCAGTCGCTCTTGGCAGAAAGCGGACGTTGCTTCGACAAGGCTCGCAGTTCAGAGTCCCACTGGTGCTCACATTGGCAGCCGCACCCCGGCAGCGTTTGCAGAGGACATTAAAAGTGATATCCCTACGTCCTCCTGTGTCCTCCGGCCAGCTCCAGTCCAGGATAACTGAGGTCTCGTTGATGGAGGAGATCACATTCCGGGGAGCAGAAGGAGGTCCTGGCGGGAGGATAAAGGAAGAGGTTGAGGCAAGGTGGAGGCGTCAATTTGATTTACAGAAGGGAAGAGAGTTTGGGGTAAAAAAAAAATTATAATATTACACCATGAGGGGAGTAAAATTGTTTTGTGTACATCAGCAATCTAACTATATCAGTCATTTCAAGATTCCTCTTTGAAAGCCTGACAAATATAGTTTGTATTCATACTTCAGCTTGAAGTATGAATACAACTCATATCTTCTTTCATATCTTTCTTCAGTTCAACCTATGCGCAATCTGGAGTTGTGAGCCCTATTCAACAGTGAACCCAGCTTATTATCTCTCTGTGCAAGATGCCTGAAGGTGGCACTGTGTTTATTGTCATGGAGAGTGAGCTTGGATTTGAATTTGATTGTTCATTTCAGCTGGTTGATAAAATCCTTTTGCCATTTCAGCGGGAGCAGTGGTGGGAAGCAAAGCTCAAAGAAGCTGAGCCTCCCAGCGCCTTACAATAAATTACTCAATCGCTGCAAACCTGATGTGAAAGGTATTGAAGCCTTGGAGGGAGGTTAATGTGGTCAGTTCTATTTAAAATTCCCGTCCACAGCGGTTCACATCTGCTACCAGGTACTTTCACACAAGACCAAGGACTAGACAAGACCCGAACTTTAAGCTTTAAATTTACGCTTTAAGTCTCGATTTAAATTAGCAGAGATTTAAAAAAAAAAAAAAATGTTTGGAATGCAACCACCATGCTTCAGATGTGGCAAAACACATCTTTGAACAGTAAATCAAATATGTATTTTGTCTCAGAAACTCTGTACATTAAATAAACAAGCCAAATGTTTCACATTTTGTCTTTTGACTTAACACTGGTCAGTGTATTATTTCAGTTTGTGCCAGTTTTCTTCTCTGAAACTACAAGAAAAGAAGGCTATGTCACAGCATCTGTCAGAAGGAAAACAGTCGTTCTTGAGTCAAATTTTGACTGACATATAAAAGTACAATGCATTATTACAAACAGATTTCCAGATCCTCAGATCAAATCTGTGACCAATGCACAGAAGACAAAACAAGACTGATATATAACTCAGTTAAATGGTGTCCAGACAGGGGAAGAAAAGAGAAGGAAATTAAACGTTTGGATTGTGACTTAACTTCCTTTGTTTAAACGGTTTAAATAAATTCTCCGGCTAAATTCGGTTTCAAATGTTTTTTTTTTTTTTTTTTTTGATACATTACTTTAAAGAAAACCTATAAAAGCTTAAAGTTTTGCTATGTAAAAATATCAGTGATTCTTTTCAGTATAACTTGTGGTGTAGGTGTTACAGGAAGTCCAACATAAACAAAAAAATATATATAAAAGCAGATGGAAATAACCAAACACTATTAAAAAGGGGCCAAAAAAGTCAGAGCACAATATGTACAGTTTAGTTCGACACAAACAATTCCAAATATAATTACTTTGGGTAACAAAGCTGCTAAGACTGACAGGCCTAATATGTTTGATATTAAACAATGAAGAATGGTACACTTTAGTATTTCTCCTCAACTGTCCGTGCTAACAGTTTAATTTTCCCTCTGCCCCTGATTTCCCTCCCCCCTCCCAAGAATGTAAATTAAATTTTCCGAGTCAACTTGAAACAACCTCTAGAAGACTGCTAACAGTACATTTCCTCTCCTGAGATAATCATGATGATTATCTCCTAACAACTCATCAATTCATTTTCATCTCTTGCGTTGCTCCAACTGTCCCAGTGAGGTGAAATTTGCGTAGTTGACAAGATGATGTTGAGATAATCACAACAGGGACCTTGCGTGACTGTCTTTCTAATTAAGATTCTGTCTCTGACTGTACGCTCTGATTTATACTTTCTACTGTTCTCCGCACAGCCCATTTTGTAACGGATGCATACATAATCTACCATCAGGGAATGGGGTGATATAGTTTTGAAGTGAAAGCATTTTGGGATGCCTGCTGGAGGCACCTGCATCTGCAAGCCAACCTGAGAAATGTCTATATTAATTTCTCACATAACACTTGGATATTCTATAATATCACAAATTCATAAATTTGCAAGAAAAAACTTTGATTTTTCATGAAAGACACATATTTATGATAAAAGTATTGATAATAATTTAAAAAAACGTATATTGTCTGACATTGTAATGTTAGAAATTTGTAAGAAAGGAACTTATGCAATATGTGTTTTTAGAAATAGATAATTTCTAAAACGTGCCTCAGTTGGGTTTGTTTTCTATATCATCACATCTCCCAGATACACACTTGATGAAGCCATGTTGCATCTTCTCCCTCTCTGTCCAAGACATTCTGGATCCTGTCCAAGGTGTTCATTTACCATGAACATGTTGGAAAAGAGCCCAAATGGACCACTCGCTTGTAGAAGATATCCAGATGTGCATTTCATAATTTTACCAGTTCAGTGTTACAGGACATTCGGGATTATTCATCACAAAAGTCTGACTTTCTAATATCAATAAACTTCTGAGTTTCAATTGAAATTCCAGATTTTTCAGATGATACATTTTAATTAAGTTTTAATATGATAAATCCATGCTTTAATAATAGAAAACAGTTTTTTTTTTTACATTTATGACTTTTTGACACCAGAGAATATCAAAGTGTTGTACTGTAATTATGTGAAATTAATCTAGAAATTTCCGCGTTTTTTTAGGTAGAAGTGTATATTTCTGCGGCCACATTATTTCTGCTTTGATTTATAATGGCCCTTATACTCCCACTTCCATTATTGTCTTGAAATACATCCACCGCTGGGCCTCCAATTAACTCTAAGAAGTTTACAAACCCATAACATAATAATTTGGGGTTCCCAAAATGTTTAAAGGAACAAAAATCTTAGAGTACGTGAAACTTTGAATTTGAAGGAGGCAATACAAAAATTCATGTAAAAAAAACTTGATATCTCTTTACTTGTGGAGTAAAAAGTGGCTTGTTCTGGAAACTCCACACATATTGACGTGTTTTATATTAACCAAAAATGTTTATGCTAAGAAGAGTCTGAACGCACACTTACGTGTACATGCCATGGAGGCAGGATCTCCTTCAGCCCGAAAATAATTTTTCTCACAGCCACAGTGCAATGACCCCTCATGGTGGGAGAAGCTATGGGGCGGACACTTTGAACACTCCATGTTGCCGTGGGTAGATTTGTAGAAGCCAGCCCTGCACACTGGAAACAAAAGAACACAGACAGATACGTGAGCATCATGCTGAACCAGCACATCGACAGCTACATAATAGCCCGATTCTTCTTCGGGGCAACTACAACAATAGCAAGTGCAAAATGAAAGATGGGGAGTGTTTAATGCAGTTTGTTTGTCACAGACGCACACACACAAACAAAGTGTGGGAAAAATACTGAATGTACTGTAAATCTGCAGTTATTGTACCAGGAACCTGCTGAGTCCTTGTAAAACAATATTTTTCCGAAACATCTTTGTCTCTGTAGCTCTCAGAAGGCACAACATGAATAATGCAAATTGTCCCCTTAGATGAAAAGGATGTTCTCTTTAAATATCTGTGGTATTAAATTTGCACTCAGCAGCTCTTTTAACTCCTACTCAACAAAAATATGTTGCAATCCGCCCAACTGGGGTGACACTTCACCAACCTATATTGAAATTGAAATTATATGGGTGACGGTAGGAGGGAGAAATCAAGGGGAAGGGGAAAAAAAGAAATCGGATGTTTTTTGGTTTTTTTTTCCCCCTGTAAATTCTTCTCCAGCTTGGTTTCACTTCTTCTTGTTCTCTGCTTCTTTCTTTTTATCTAAAGATTTAAATCCCTATTCTATGATTCATGAAGATCATTTGAACCAACAAAATTCTTCTTGCAGACATACCTAAGCTGCTCTTTTATGTTAAAAGATCACCATGTCTCTAAAAACTAAAAGCAGGCCCTCAATCCCTTATGATAAAACCATGCTAAATCATTTAATAATTTAATAAAATTGCAGCAACTCAATCACAAGTACTTAACAGTGTCGTATGTTGACAAACAAGCATGTTTTCTTTCTGCCTTTCTCACAAACACACACATACTCGTGTACCTGCACACAATATTAAATAAATGGCTAACAGCAAAAGCAGCAAGCCAGCAGAATGTGTGGGCTCAGCAGAACAGGCCTGACAGATCCCAGTGGTAGACAGCGCAGTTCTGCAAAAGCCAACACTGCTGATATTACTCCCTTATCCATCACTGACACGGCCACGCCAAGGTCCCCGCGCTGCACTAAATGCTCAACAACAGCATACATGTGCACGACTGCGTGGCAGCAGGTATGCTCCACTGTGTGCAGGGAAACAGGAGGAGGAGTGGAGTTCAAATAGTTCTGTGCGCTCCAGCAACAACAAAACTCCCTGACAAATGCAGGACAGACCACAGTGATTGGAAAATACGGTGTGAAATTAAAAATGACAGCCAGCATTCCTGGCCAATCAGGTAGTAGAAACTGTAGTGGATGCTGGATAGTGGACGTAATGTCCCCGGGTTATGAAAAATAAATCAAAAGAAGAAGGCAAAATGGATAAGCTCAACGTAACAAATATTCAGAAACAAAATCTGACATAATACGTCCAGCCCAAGCATTTCATCGCTGCATATCACGAATCAAAATTGCCAAAGCTATTTTAATGAACCATAAACCACTGGATTTAGCTACCTCACATCGTAACACTACGATGTGAGGTAAATCTGTGTTACCATGAAATAGTAGGTCGTCGGTGGAGAAAGAGCAGAACACTGAGAGGGAATAGCGTAGCAGTCCTGACTTTTAACGTAACCTTTACATTAACAGAACAGAACCCGTCTCGGGCCCTCCTAAAAAAAAAAAACCAACGAAGAAGAAAGAAACAGCTCATCTTAAAGGCGCAGCACAATTCCTTAGCTATGGATCAATTTTAGTAAGTAACCGATCTTGTATGTAACCACATTTATTGAAAAAGAAAAATAAATTATCTTACATTATCAACTAATTTCAAGTTTTTGGTTAAAAAAAAGAAGAAAAAAAAGTAAGCCACTCAAATGGAAACATTAAGATTTAGATATTAATGTTGATTAAAAAAAAGTAATTCAGATTTGTGTTTTACATTTTAAAGTGTTTTACTTTCAAACCCACATGGTAATGGCCTAAATAAATGTGCATTTTTTCACTTCAGCTGTGTGGACATCAATCATCTGGTTTTAGCTCTGAAGCCAAACTTACTGGCTCCAATCTATATGGAAACATATCTAAAACAGAAATGTTAGCATACGGAAAGACATTGCAGATAGGAATATAATGCTATCGTCTCCGCTAAATTGTTACACTTTTGGAGGATATGTGTCTATGAATAAATATAAATAGCTAAAATGTATCTAAACACCAGATTGTTGCTTTTTCCTCAATGCTAAACATTGGGAATAGAGGGGTGTCCCTTTCTACCATCAATAGTTCTTAGAAGTGTGATTTGTTCCAAGAACACCTCCTCTCCTAACACTTCAAACATGCCAAACTCACACATAGTTTGCACTTTTCAGTTGTTGTTTTTGTACTCCTGATTTTTCTTTTGGAAATATAATAAAACTGAAATGAAAACAAGAGTTTCTTTTTTCTTTTCTTAGTGAGCAGCACCTAGTAAAAGTATTCACACTACCAGTTATTTTGTTACATTACAACTGCGCTTTTTCATATTTTATTAGGATTTTATGTGACAGGCCAACACAAAGTCATCCATAGCCACGAAGTAGATGGGAAATATCTGAAAGATATGGAAAATGGAAAAGTCTGCCATGAATTTGAAATTGCTTTACTCTGATATTTGAATCAAATCCAATTCCTCTACAATTCATCCATTTATTATATAAACTCCACATCTGTGGTCAATCAGGAGGAGCTGCAGAGATCCACAACTCTGTTTACCAGACAACTATTAGTTGTGCATTCCACAAATTCAGCCTTTACATTTGTGGAATACATTTGTGCATTCCATAAATGTGGAATGCCAATGAAGAAGAAAGAAGAAATGGCTCGGCAAACATTTTAGAGTTTGCCGAGCCATTCATGTAGAAGAGCGGATGTGATGGATGGTGTTTTAGTGCAGTGAGAACAAAGTAGAAATTTCTGGTCTTTATGCAAGATGCTGTGGATTACACAAACCTATCACTGAATGCAACATCCCAAGTGTCGAACATGATGGTGATGGCATAATGATGTGAGAAGAATATTCTTCAATAGAGAGAAAAACTGATCAAATAAACTGCAGTGAGGAATGATGGTAAATACAGGGAAACCATAGAAGAAAATCTGTGGGAGTTTGCAAAACACAAGAGACTAAGGGAGAAGTTTTACTTAAAAAAAACAAAAAAAAAAACAAAAACAGCTTGTGTTCTGCAAAAAACAATGGACAAACATGTCGATCTATTGATTTGTAAAGGTGGTAGAGTCATAGTAAAAGTAAATCTACCAAGTATTGAAAAAGGGGAACTGGATAATAATAATAATAATAATAATAATAATAATAATAATAATAAGTTCGCTTTTAGGTTTTCGATTGTAAAATTGAAAACATAATATCTTAGTGCAACCCTGAACTTGATAACCTTATCCCTGTCCTAATCACCATTTATCCATATCCTGTTCAATCTGAAAGAGCTTAAGCTGTTTGACATAATGTAGCAATGAAAAGTATTCACCGCCCTGAAGATTTTACCTTTTTTATTGAATTACAAATCGCTCATAATCAACACATTTTTTTTTATTTTTTATTTTTTTTAACCAAAACTCCCTTTTAACATCACAAGTGAAAACTGATTTCTACAAAAATGATATATAACATGAAACAAGTAATTTCAGAAATATTCACCCCTTGTGAAGTGACTGGTCCTGTCAACCAGTGCTACTGATGCCACAATGAGTTGAATGGAGTTCACCTGAGTGTAGATTTGAAGTGATTTTAGCCACCTGTGTCTGTCACTAGTTAATCAGTATTCATGGCTTCCATTACAGCACAGAGACAAAATAACACACCAACAAATCAAAGAAAAGGTATAAGTTAGGGGATGGATACAAAAAATATCTAGGGCACTGATCATGAAGTGAAGGAATATGGCCCATGTATAAGTCTAGCAAGATCAGGACATCCTGATTGACTGTGCAAGAAGGTCACTTAGAAGAAGGCTTATCTTTAGTCAAATTGATTACTGCAAGAGTGTCTTCTCAGATCTGCCAAAATAGGCAATCAGACAGCTGCAGCTGATCTGGAATGCTGCTGCATTTACATTTGAGTTAATGGAAATTAAAATAGCATAAAGCATAGCAGGAAAAAAATATTGTTTGAGCATTCAGATTACTTTTAAAGTTGATAACCAAAACTGGTGTTTTTTGTGACATTATTATGGTATATATGGATTTTCGTTGCCACAGACCTGAAACTCTTTTTAAAATAGTTGGAAATGGATATTATGGCTCAACTTGAAACAGCCAGGTTTGACAGAGTAAAAAGACACTGACTTATGCTGATGGTAAAATCAGATTTTGCTTGCATAAGGTTTACTCTTCATCTTGTGGAAAATCAAGATGCTTTGCCGTGACATAGCAGTGTGGGGGAATCTGAGCTGAGACTATGATGCCATTTGCAGACCGTTTTTGTTGTGTGTGTGTGTGTGTGTGTGGCCCTCTTCATCACTGACAATTTAAAACATATTTCTTTTTTTTCTTTTTGTCAAACCATTCGATCTAAACAATCACAATGTGGGAACTAGTCTTTTATGCAAAACTATTTTCAGTCTCATTGTCATGAACAAACAGGAAAATAAAAGAAAGCGAAAGCCCAGATTACACCTGTGGACCGTCTCACTGCCACTGCACGTCCAGGAAGGCTATAACACAGTGATCCATTACCAACTGTACAATATGACATGTAACATGATCGTTTCACTTAAATGTGTGATGTACAAACATATCTGAACACATGATATGGTGGTTGTAACATAACTGGGGTTGCAATTTGCTCAATCAATGACCTGGGACATAGAACACCCTATCAATAATTAACATTGCTGCTGGATGCTTTAGTGGTAACATGAGGTCTCTCTTTTCAAGACATTTAAGTGATGACCTAATCTAAAGCATGATACACAAAGTGCATTGTGTGTCTAAGTTGCTATTCTTCCAACAGTTTTGATCATAAG